CAACATGACTGGGTCACGGAGTGCCCAGATTARACCTTCTTTCTGGATAAGTCCCTGATATCATTTCCAAATGAGRTTAACATTTGAACTGGTGGCCTCAGTGGAGTAGATGACCATCCCCTAGGTGAGTGGGCATCATCCAATCATTGAGGGCCTGAAGTGAATAAAAGGCAAACATCTGTCTTCAAGCTGGGATTTACCATCAGCTCCCCTGCTTCTCCAGTCTTTGGACTCAGACTGGATTTAAGCACTGGCTTTCCTGAATATCCTTTTTTTTTTTTGTACCAGGGATTGAATTCAGGGGTATGCAACCACTGAGCCACATCCCCAGCCCTATTTTGTATTTTATTTAGAGACAGGGTTTCACTGAATTGCTTAGGGCCTTATTGTTGCTGTGGCTGGCTTTGAACTCACGAGCCTCCTGCTTCAACCTCCTGAGCTGCTGGGATTACAGGCATGCACCATTGGGCTTGGCTGGGATATCCATCTTGCATATAGCAAATCATGGGGCATCTTGTCCTCCGAAATTATGTAAGCCAATTCCTCATAATCTCTTTCTCTCTTACACATTCTCTCTCTCTCTCTCTCTCTCTCTCCCCCCTATTACCCTATTAGTTCTCTTTCTCTGGAGAACCCTGGCATGGCCACTCTGGGCTGGGAACAGCTGACCAGCTCTGTCCATTGCTTCAGAAGCAGCTCATTTTCTAGTCTTTGTATAAACACAGAAATATCTGAAAGTTATAGCAATAGGTGCAAATGAATCACAAACAGACATTGGCATCACCCCAGTCTGCTTTCAGAGTTCAGTTGTGTGAAATTACAGTGACAGGGCAGAGATAATGACTGGTTCACAGGAAACTCTCGCATGCAGGGTGCCAGGACAGCCAGCCCTCCCTCCATAACTAGGTAATCTTTTTTTTTTTTTTTAATTTTTTGTTCTTCTTAGTTATGCATGACAATAGAGTGTGTTCTGACATGTTACACGTCCACGGAGTACAACTTCCCATTCCTGTGGTGGACTGAGTTGAGGTCCCCTTTCCCTTTCTAGGGGTCTCCTCGAAGCACATGGGTGACAAGGAGGTCATGGAATGAGATTCTGGATTTGCAGACACGTGGGGCACATCCCTGGCAATGCTGAGCAGGACCTCCTGTGCTGGGTGTCACTGGGTCCTCCCCTAAGATCCCCAGATGCTCTAGGACAGCATTTGATCCCACAGGCTGATACCAGACCCACTAGCTCGCCCTGACTTCCTTGGCCCGGGACAACTTGGACCCTGAAGGGCACTGGGAGACCACCTAGCTCCCCTCCCATCTGCGACTCCCCAGGTCTCCTGTTGCCATGGCCACAGTCAAGCACATCGGAGCCCAAAGGACTCAGGTTCCCCAGCACCTTTCTGCTCAAGTCCCACAGCTCGTCCTGTTGTGTGCGTTGCTTTCCAATCCCTTCTTGCCACGTGATCTCATTTAACTAATTTACGACTCCAGACTGCAGACTGAATCACAGCGATTTGTTTCCTTTCCCTGGTTGCAAACTGAAGGAAAGCAGGCTTCATTAATTCAAGTGCTTATCTTGGACCAGTGTGTTAACAAGCTTTTAAATGCCGCTCCAGCCACTGAGCTTTTTTGAGGAGGTGAAAGGGCTTCTGGTCCATATGGTCTAGATTCTTGTACATTTTCATTTCAAACGCTAAGGTTGACAGAGCTGTTAAGAGCAAATGGGGTGTTAGTTAATATCTAATTACTCCTAACACAAGTCACAGCTCATTTAACTGAGGCAGACGCCAGTCCCTGCTTCCACCGACGGACACATTTAGGACATCAATTTACACTCTGTCTCTCAGCCACTTGCCTGTCTCTTGCCTGTGTAACAGTCTCACCATCCAGTGTGACTCCACAGCTGTTTTCTTGCCAGTCATGCTTAGACACCTAAAGTCCCCCCATGCCACTCTCTTATTCCCTGATATGCTAGTGGACGTCGGGATCCCAGGAACAAAAGACTGTCAAAAGATGCTGCTTCAGGGTTTTCCAAAAGCAGCCACACTCAGGTTTGAATATAGTGAATCCTGGGCTGGTTTCTGGTTGCAATCTTGGTTTTCAGAAAAGCACCAGGCGGGGGAACATGCAGGCAGGAGCTGATTTTCTGGCATGGTTCCCAAACTCCAAGAAAATCACCACAAAACAATGCCCGCTTCTTCCATGTGAAATACAATGAGTCATGGCACCTCGCCTGTACCCACTCCTGTTTGGGATGGCCTGGCCACGTGYAGGCAGAATGGGGTTAGAATAATCGAGATGGAAACTATGTTACATATCCTTTCTGCAGAAGGGTACCTGGAATGAAAGAAGAATAAAAGAAAGGGCTGAGCTTAAAGAGGGCTGCTCAAAGACCTGCCATGAGCAAAATACTAGAGAAGGAGAACTTAAAAGGTGAGATTTGATTATATTCCTTGAATTTGTTCAGGGATAGAAATGCAAAGGGGCCCTGCTTATTGAAGAGCATTCAGCTAAAAGAGGAAGTGAGTAGAAGTTACTGGAAATCTCCCCAGTGAGTGCGTGATTCCTCAGAGAAGGCTAGAGGTGTCCAGCAGCGCCCTGAGAACATGCAGGAGATAGATTCAAAGGTGGTCCAGGAGGCACAGAACTCCAGGGGCAGCCGCTACAAGTCCTTCTGTGAGGGGCAGATGGCGAGGTTCTAGAACTACTTAGACTAGGGACAGTGTGCGTGGAAACCATCACTTCATCAAGAGAATTTTCATTTAAAAAAAAAATTACAGAGAGAACAACGAATTAAAAGAATTTTAATAAAATCAACAAGTTTACATTTGTACATCTTGTGTATCTGGGACCCAGTCAGGGGAGAAGGATAAAGTTGCAAGGACAAACGGTTCTATGGAACAACAGGCAAAAAAGACAACCCCAGCTGCGTAACAGACCTCTGGGTGACAATGGACCCCATAGCCACCTCCCTGCACCCTAGAGTGAGCAAGCGCAGTTTACCAAACTTCCCAGCTCTGAGCTCAGGCCCAGGCCCCTCAGCCGCCGTGACGCTCCTACGTTAATCCTTGATAGGCCACGGCAGATGAACAGTCCATAAAATTAAACAGTACTGCCCGTAGAATATTAATGTAAATTGAGTTCTGTTCATGCTGTTTTAACTAGAATGGCTACGCTGAACCTAATGAGAGGGAAAAGGTCTGAATGACAGTTCTAATTGCTCTATTCAACGGCAGTCACAAAACAGCAGGCCTGGTAGAAAGAATCATGTATTTGTCTTAAAAATAGGATTTAAGAAAAGGACCTCGTGAGAGAGCGAGAGGGGTTAGAGAAGACAGTTTTAAACMTATGAGACAATCCTGCACGTTGCCAAATTATTCCGCTCGTGTTAAATGATTTAGTAGAGATGGGAAACTGCCCAACTCCAGCTTTCATTCTTGGAGACAATGGCAGGTGTTTCAAAATATCCATCCGGCTTCAGAGGGGGGAGGAAAAAAGAGACTAGTGTCCCCGGGTCAGGAGTGAGCCACCCCAAGCCGTTTCCAAGACGGCACCCATCTTGTGGACAGAGAAAGCAGTGTTTTTAAAAGTATAAGGCTGCGTATGCAGGTAACGTGCTCTTTGGGGAATACAAACCTCAACTCACAGGTTGCAATGATAACACACGCAACAAGATGAGTTCCTGAACAGTCATCCAGGAGCTGATGCTCACGACCCGGCTTGGAATTCAGACCAGTTTATACAGCACAGCATACACCTGAGCCACAAAGAGAATTTCTTCATTGTTTATTCTTTAGATAATTGAAACATGGTTAGGAAAAAAATGGTGCCAATTCCCCCAACAACACAAGGATGCTTTTGCTTCTTGGCTCACTCAGAATCCCAAAAGAAAAAAAAAATACAGTGATCATTATTAGTATAACAAACATTTTTTAAAGAACGGACAGTGAGTTCTTTATTCCCCTCAGGAAGGCCCAGGATGATGAAGAAAGGGTGTGTTTTGCTGCCCTCCTGTTACAGGTACCAGCAGATCCCTGTTTCCCAAACATCGTGGTTGGGGACGGGGGGGGGGGTATATTGTCTTTATGGAAATTCTTCCCAGCACAGGTCATCCCAAGGATGAAATTCCAAAGAGGCAGTGAAATGGTAAGCGTTGCAGCTGGTCTGACATGATGCAGAAGCACAAAGCAAGTCCCCAGGTGGTTATGGAGGAGAGACCTTTCTTCTGCAGATTCCAGAAGGCTCAGAGCAGGCGTAGAAAGTGCTGGCAGGTGAGTCAGCCTGACTGGACTCCTTGGAAGATCTTTAGAAGCACCTATCAGGATCGAGGGTGCCTCCATTCAGGGCAAAGGCAGTTTTTCCCAGGGTCTGACTCCTGAAAAGCGCACTTGGTTTAGCTTCTCTCGTTTTCCCTTTTCATTTCTCAAGTCTTCAGAAGGAGGTACGTTTTCACAAGAAAAAATAGCCCTGATGAACATGACAGATGAATTTTTCAATGAGAGAGAAACTACAAAGATGCTATGAATTCAAATGAAACGGTTTAGTGGAACCTGTTCATCAGGGAGCTTCCAACCAGCAGATGATGTCACTGCAGAGGAACCTGCCTTCGGGTCCCCAACACCTTGGGCTTCCTGGGCCCACTTCAGAACGGGCAAACTAGCTTCTCTCTTGGACCTTTATCAGTTTCCAAAAAGATCTCCATTTGCTAGGCAGTCCGAAGCACAGGAATTTACCCAAAAGTGACTGTTGGAGTAAACAAAACAGAACCCTTTGGGGAATGAGAGCTGATGGGAAGAAGAAACAAAAAAAGTATGTCCCTAAGGTTGGCCACTTGTAGGGCAAAGGCAGAGCCAACATAGTTGGAGAATGTGCCCCGGACATGCCTGGGGTGGGAAGGGCTTCGCCTGAAGACCGTGCCACACCTTTCCAGAGCCCGTGTGTGTCTCAGGAGGGCTCTCTCACTTGTCCCGACCACACGGGGAAGACTCCCTTTTCCTTCAGAGAAGACCTCCRTTCTGGATGACTGTGTTTCTGGACCAGGGAACTCGGGCCTACTTCCGGGATTCTCAGGGATCTCCATTTACATTCATACCAAGAAGGATCAGCAGTGAGGTGTCCTTGTTTCACAGGGACTGCTGTGTCCCCGGCACCCAGGTGTCTTCCCTTTGTCCTGCTGGCATGAAGTGTGGCAGCTGTCTGCTCTTGGTGTCCAGCAGGCTTAGAAAAGACCTCAGAGTCCCCCTTGTGTGCTTGGGCCAAGCTTTTCAAGTCCGGGTGCCAGGACTGGGCGAGCTGGGCGTCGTGTGTCTGTTGGTGGCACAGTGGGTGTGCACAAGCCCTCCATTTGGGTATCTGACAAACACAGGCTCGCCAAAGGGATTCTGGCACAGCTGGCAAAGCTTTTGGTCTGAGAGCCAGATTGCGCTTCCTTTCAACTTCATCTGCAAATAGAAACCAAGAGTAGTCATGCTGCATTTCAACCCCAAGTGACCACCTTCTGTTTTAAAAAACAGTTGATGCACTTCCTCCACCCCAACCCTGCAAGGATGGTTCTCCCTGATGCAGACTGTTTTCATACCGACTTCTTTAAACAGTATGCAAGCAGTGGAAATAATCAAACCATCCTTGGTACCCAGAGAAGTTAAAAAAAAAAAAAAAAAAAAAAAGCTGTTCTTTGTTTATAAAAGAAATTGCTGCTTGTTGGCATTTCTATTCCAGATTCTCCCTCCAACATTCTCAGGGCTCTGTTTCACCCTAGGCCTGACGTGAACGTGAGAGCCACACAGGACCATGCACCATCTCACTCCCTGGCCCTCGAACTTGCCAAAAAGAAAAGTACAAAAAAGGGACATGGCCGAGGTTCTGTGGCAGATGAGAGGCACATTCCTGATGGGCTGGGCAATACAATCTCTTTTCTTTAGAGGTAAACAATAAAATGGAGCTGTAAAACCATCAGCCCAGGTCTGGAAAACAGACTTCAATTTTGCAAATGGAAAAGTTCTAAAAATTCACTCTCCACTTGCTGTTGCCATGAGCCCTGAGCTGCTTTCCTTCACCACGCCCTTCAGCAGTGCTGTCCTGCCTCACCTTGGGCCCAGAGCTATGGAGTCTGCCAGCCATGAACTGAACCTCTGAAACCCACTTGGACTCCTGGGTATGGTCATAAAGAAGACATGTAAAAGCACAGAAAGTGAAGAGGGGGAAAAATGATCTTCCTGGCTTTGGTTTTCAAAAGTCCTTCAAAATATGGAAACTGAGGAAGAGAGATCAACTATTTTGCACAGGGTCCTATGGCTGGCAGGTGGAGGAGCCAGGATCCTCCTTTAGGAAGCCTGGTTCTGAAACTGGTTCTCTTTTTCACTCTGTGATTCATCTAACCTGGAGCCAGCTGAATATTTTTGTCTGTTGAATTCAGGAGAGAGAACAACTATTCCAGTCATGACAAACAGAGTTAACAGAGTTAGCTCATCGTGAAGGCAAATTCGATTGCTTTGTGGCTGCTGCTTGGAGCATGTGCCAGATTTGCCAAGAGTTGGTTGATTAATGCCACTCAGAACAAAGTAGCAGCAGGTCCAGGGACTATTCCACTGAAATATTTAGGTCCTGAACCCCCTGGCAGGTGGGTCCCCTCCACTAACATCAATCCCTCGCTCCTCTCACCAGCACCCATGCTCACTGCCTTTGCTTCTCCATGCTCCCTAAAATGCTGCCCCTCCTCCCACGGCCCAGCCATGCTACCTCTACCTCCCATGTGAAATGCCTACACCACCCCACCTCACTCATCTTCATTTTCATGGAATCCGTGTTGTCATGTGTGATCCGACACTTGTGAATAGGCAAAGACAGATTTCAAGACCCCCACCAGACCCTGAAGCTGGGAGCAGGCAGGAGGAGTCCATCTTTGGTCTGTCTCTCCCTAGAGCCCAGCTCAGAGCCTGGTGCAATGTGGATGCTTTACAAAGCATTCATAAAATAARTAAATAAAAGAATGAATGGGTGGATTCTTTAGACGTTTCCCATTGGTATACCTTGACAGCTCTTTGAGGGTAGGGATATGTTATGGAATTCTTTTGGGCTCTCCATCATACCACTGTGATGCATGGTAATTACTTCAAATCTGTGAGGACAGAAACTGAGCCAACAAAACCTCCTTCTAGGGGGAGTGACTGAGCAATCTGAATGAGAGGGAGAATGATAAATATCTGACTTACAAATAGTAATGATGAAAGTCGTGGCACTTGTTGGCTCAACTGTCTTGGCTGTCCAGATCTACTATTGTCTACCTGCATTAGTCAATGCTTCTTTTTTACTCCCCGGTAACAAACAAGTCAGATCAGTTAGCTTTGGCTGCGCAATAAGCAACCCAGAACTTGGTGGCTTAAAACAATAATGGCCTATATACTTCAAATGGGCGATCTTTAATTGATAAAATAAAGTTGTCAAAAAACCCAAAAAGTCCTGCACAATTCAGTTCGGTCAACCCAGGCAGGTGAGTCTATTGACAGGATCGAGTAGCAAGTTGGTAAATTGATCTTGTACTCATTAGTTGCATTCATCATTCAACAAAACAACGTATTTACCACCTTCAGCATGCCAGGCTTGGCCCTGGGGAAACGGAGATAAATAAATGAAGTTTCCTGCCCTCAAAGAATCCAGTCTAATAGTAACGAGAGAGGATCATGAATCTATGACAAAGCGTGCAGGTGAGCATGGGGGAAGGCGGTTCGTCTGCTGTGGGTATGAGATGGTTTCAATATGGACACGTGGTAGGCTGAGTTCTGACCTGGTGTTCACCAGACAGAAAGGAAGAGGCAGGAGTATTTCAGATGGTGGGAACAGAACATGCAAAGGCCAGGAAGTGGGGAGCAGCACGTCACCCCTGGGTGGCGCCTGGCTGAGACCAGGATCCATGCCAGGAAGCAGCGAGAGGATGCAGGACGGCATCTCCCAGGCCACGGGGCGTCCACACAGGCTTTATGTGAGAGAAGAATGTGGATTCCTGCTCTGCCACCACATGGAGTATCCAGACAGGGAGGACAGCTTGGTGACAAGAACTGGCCCAGAGGGCACTTCTGGGCCCTTCCTCTGGCTGACTGTGACCTGCTGTGCAGTGGAGAGGACACTCGTAGACACGACATAAAGCTGTTGTGGTGATGAAATGGTATGATGGAAAGTGCCAGAATGGTGCCCGGCCGTTGCTACCTGGTCAGCGAGCAGCACCTTTCTGACTCTTCTCCTTCCTCCCTTCCCCCACCCCACCTGCTCACTGGTCATCAGTGTTCAAAAGGGGAGAASAGCTACCCTGAGGTCCTGCCCCCCACCAGCCCTGCCTCTCCCCACACCAACCTGTTTCTAGACGGGAACAATCTGGTACTCGATATGTTGAAGTCACATATCAGCTGACCAAGACCATCTGCACAGGTAAACCTGCCTTGCACAACTCACAGGCAGGCGCAGAAGTCCACCGGTCCAGTAGGCCAGGCACTCACCTTATTGTAGGTGTAGATCAAGTTTTCCGACCTGGCCAAGCCGACAGCCACCTGCGTGGTCCTCCTGGCATGGATGCTGTCCCTCATGGCCCCAGTCAGGAATGGGCAGAGCAGCTGCACCGACCAGGAGCCAGGCAGCAGCTGCAACACCTGCGTGGCATCAAACTCCGTGGCGTGGCGATTCAGCAGGTCCACGGCAGCCACGGTCAGCTCGTGGGCAGCCGGGCCGGCGTGCAGGTACATGGCGAGCAGCGTGTGAAAGAGGTGCCGGCGGCAGGGTGCGTCCTGGCCCTCGGAGCTCCACAGGCAGTAGTCCTCGGCCGCCGAGAAGTCCCCCAGCTCATGCACGAGGATGTGCAGGGCTTTCCCGTGCTCGCCCAGCTTCCCGTGGAGGATGGCGCTCTCCATGGGCAGGTCGGCGCCCTGGATCCTCTCTGTGGGACAAAACTGCCACTCTGAAACAGGCAGGCCTCTGCCAGGGGAACCACTGCAGCCTGCTGCTCCAAGTCTCAGAAAGGGCAGCCCCCCGGCTACCTAGACAGCGCTAAATACTGCCACCCAGGCGACCCGGGAGGGAAGCTTTKCTTGTATTGGCACCGTGCCAATTTGGATCTTAGTAAAACAGAAGATGGATTCTACTTTTTTTGGGTACTGGGGACTGAATTCAGGGGCACTGGACCACTGAGCTACATCCCCAGCCCGATTTTGTATTTGATTTAGAGACAGGGTCTCACTGAGGTGCTTAGCGCCTCGCTTTTGCTCAGGCTGGCTTTGAACTGGTGATCCTCCTGCCCCAGCCTCCTGAGCTGCTGGGATTACAGGCGGGCACCACCACATGGCTGGACTCTACTTAACATGTTTAGAGAATGAACAAAACAAATGATCCAGGATCCCAGAAGGCCCCAGCGAATCACTCCACACTCCGGGTCTCCAGGTCTTCAGCTTCCCAGTGTGGAATATTTTCTTTGACTAAGGCAGAAGGGCACAAGAGCTGTCACTCTGTGTCCTTGGGGGATTGTTCCAGGACCCAGCCTCTATGGTACCAAGATACCCGATGCTCAAGTTCCTTATAAAAAACAGAACAGCACTTGCACATATCCTACATCCATCCCCATGTATTCTGACACCGTCTCTGGATTACTCACAACACAGTGCAGCACGAAGGCTGCGCCCATGTTTGTCATACTGTATTGTTTAGGGAGCAATGACAAGACAAAGGCTTGTACACGGTTAGTACAGACRAAGTTTGGGGGGAACATTTTCAATCCCAGTTGGTTGAATCTAGAGAGGCAGAGCCCACAGATAAGGAGGGCTGACTGTGTATCCCCTTAAATCCAAACACCCCCCTCCCCCAAAAGGTGTGTTTATACCAACTTATTCTAATTCCACTGGGATCACAGTGGCGCATGCCTGTAATAGCAGCACCTCAGGAGGCTGAGGCAGGAGGATCGCAAGTTCAAAGCCAGCTTCAGCAACTTAGTGAAAGGTCTTAAGCAACTCAGTGAGACCCTCTCTCTAAATAAAAAATAAAGAGGGTTGGGGATGTGGCTCAGTGGTAAAGCACCCCTGGGTTCAATCCCCAGCACCCCCCTCCCAATTTAAAGTACACTTCACTGAAAGGAATATGATGAGCTTATAGTGCTAAAAACCACAACTACACCACCCAACAAAAGGTTGAAAGCAAAACATAAGGCTTTTTTTTTCCCCCAAATTTTCCCTGCAATTAAGGGTCCAGGTAACAAGGAAATGACAGACCCAAAGGCAGTGTTACTCTGAAGGCCCTACCTCGTGTGGATGGAGTCTCACTGGCAAAGTCGCGTCCCTCCCCCACCCCCTCTGTGGAATAGGAAGATGCAAGACCTATACCTATTATCTTCCTACTGCTCAGGGTTATTTTGAGGATAACACTTGGTCTGAGGTCATGCTTAATACTCAAGTGACGGGCACTTGGCCTCTGAAGCCTGGTCACACAGGGGTCCCCTCAGGCTAATGACCAGGGTGCAGCCAAGGGCTGGGTGTGCAGCCTGTGTCCACCGCAGCACCACACACCACCCTCCTCCTGGTGAAGGGTCAACACACAATTGCTCAGAGGCTTCCACACTTGAGTCACAGGGAGACGTGCAAAGGTGCGGAGGGCACTGTGGTGATGCACACTGTTTACACCCCTCACCGCACTGATACGGGATTCCCGGTACCTCGAGGGGACTGGTTTGGCAGGGATGGTTACTACAGCTTCCCTAGCCTGGTGTATCTTCAAGTCACCCAACTACCAACCAGGGGTCACTGTCATGCTGTGGTGACAGTTTGAGTGTGTCGCCCGCAGCTCATGTGCTAGAAGCTTAGTCCTCAGAGTGGCGATGTGAGAGGAGGTGGAGCCCAGTGGAAGATAATTAGGTCCCTGAGGGATCACCTTCAGAAGAGAAAGAAGTAGTTCTCCTGGGATCCTGGCTAGTTCTCATGAGAAGGTTGTCATAAGAGATCAAGACTGGCCCCTCCTTCATCTCTCTCTGGCTTCCTGTCTTTCCCTGTGATCTTTCTCTCTCTCTCAAGTGCTCACCAAACAGCCCTTATCAGAAGCCGAATCAATAGGGGCAAGCCCCTCTTGGACTTTTGACCTACAAAACTGTATGCTAAATAAAACTTTTTTATATAAATTACCTAATCTCAAGTATTTTGTTATAGCATCAGAAAGTAGACTAATCCAGACACAAGGTTAATCTCTGATTTTCTAATGTTATTTCCATAGTGTGTTGGGGGACCCTCACTGCCTGCAAGACCCCCAGTTCTTGCACAAGGATACACTGTATGTGCTCAAAAGCTGGATGAATGAAAGCCATGGTCAGCAAATTTATGTAAGGCAAAAAAGTATGTCAAAGGTGTTAGTAAGTAATGTTGTGAACAACCAATAAAAAAAAATACCATAGAGTGGGTAATTTATAAGCAATAGAAAAAAAAAGATGTTAGTAAAAGCCAGGTGCAGTGGCACTTGACTGTAATCCCAGCAACTCAGGAGGCTGAGGCAGAAGGATTGCAAGTTCAAAGCCAGCCTCAGCAAAATAAGGCACTAAGCAACCCTGTCTTTAAATAAAACAATACAAAATAGGGCTAGGGATGTGGTTCAGTGGTCAAGTGCCCCTGAGTACAATCCCCAGTACCTATCCCTACCACAAAAAAAGCGTTAATAAAGATATTTAACAGCCTTTATAGTATGAGCACCAACCAATAAAAACACACAGTGGCTATAGGCAATCTGCATGGCTGCATGCACCACAGGCGAAGGGAGCCCTGGGTAAGTGCGAGCTAGAACCAGCATTTGCTGTTCATGCCAAACATCAGTACACATCCATGCTCTGGCTCTGCTGCTCATGAGCTGTGTGACATGGGGCAAGTTGGGCAAATCTTTCAGCTTCAATTTATGTGCTCTCCTGTAACAACGGGAAGAGTGCTAGGACTTACTTCATATAAACTGCAGAAATTAAGCATCGTAACACGTTTTTGGCATCTTGACTTATGCCTGGTGGATACAGCTAATCCTTACTATGCATGCATTTCAAGTGGTAAATTCATCTACTTGCTAAAATCTATTTGTTACCTCAAAACGAACACTCACAGCAATTTCAAAGTCATTCCTGGCCACATACAAAGCAAAAAATATGTTAGCTGCCCAACATACACAGCTGAGGTTGAACAAGGTGACCCTCTCTCTGCCTTCTTGCTTCAATTCTCAAGCTACATACGAATGTCCTTTACATGGTCTATTTAGTGATACTTTTTTTTTTTTTTTTTTTTTTTGCATTTTGCTCTTTGTTAGTAATTTTACTGAAGGCTGTGCTGAGCCTTATGGAAAAAATTTGTGCATCACATAGGCTTTATTTGGGCATGAGTTATAGTGTTGTTGACTATGAATTTAATGGTAATGAATGAACAATATAGGAAGGTGTCGTTAAACAGAAACATGCATTGTTGAGAGACTTTACAGGGGGAGCACAAGAGGCCTCCCCCTCCTCTGGGCAGGCTGACTGTCCATGTACTGACAGGGTTATGAAATGTTGGGCAGGTTTGCAGAAATCTCACCCTGTATCTCCCCTACTGACCACAGTTCAATGCTTCCTAATTCCATGTTTGTGGAGACTTCCAAGAACACAGCTACCAGGAACAATGAGAAGGGATGTAATGGTTGGAAAATGGCACTAATGCTGTTAAAGAAAAATACGTTACTAATCTAAGGAATTACAAGTCCAGGTGCAGTGGCACTTGACTGTAATCCCAGCAGTCTTACTGTACTGGTGTCCAGTACAGTAAGAAAGTGGTCAATGCTACCAGTGCAGGACCACACTGCTATGTGGCACTCTCCAAATATGGACACTGTGGTCTTTGCCCTCTTGAGAAACTGGAAACTCAAGTTCCCTCTAAGACACCTGCAGTGCTTCCATGGCTTAGGGCTCGAGGGACTTCAAGCCGTGACCAAGGTTTGAAGACCAAGAAAGGGCCACTGGAACAGGGCCAGTTGGCAAAGTGTTGACCAAATGCAGCTGGTCCTCAGTACTCACAGGTTTCACATCTGAGAATTGAACCAATCACAGATCAAAAAAAAAAAAATTTAACAAAAAACAAAAAATCAAACAGTAAAACAATTAAAAAAGAAAACCAAAAACTGGTCAGGTGCAGAGCGGCACATGCCCGTGATCCCAGCTCTTCGGCAGGCTAAGGCAGGAGAATCACAAGTTTGAGGCCAGTCTGGGCAATTTAATGAGATCCTTTTCCCAAATAAAATAAAAAGTGCTGGGGTGTAGGCTCAGTGGTAGAGTTCACTGGCTTCCTTCCCCAGTACAGCAAAAAAATGAAGTAAAAAAAAAAAATCGCACCTGTGACAGACTTAAATGATGAAGTATAACAATTATTTACCCAGTTTTYCCATTGTGTGAGGTATTATAAGCAATCTAAATGGGAGAAAGTGTAAAGGTCCCATACAGACACCCACCATTTTCTCCAAGGGACTTGAGCGTCTGCAGACTTATATCCTGGGGGGTCTGGAACCAATCCCCCAAAGATACCTAGGCACTACTGCAGTGGAGTCATCCAAAGAAACCAGGACTGGGTGTTCCAAGCTGAATCCAGAGGTTTACATGAAGGACTGATCAACAGCCATGCACTCGGCCAGGACCTGTCAGGGCAACTCTGACGTCCCCAGCTTAGGCCTCGGTCCAACTTGAGAGACTTTACGGGGAGCACAAGAGGCCCCCTCCTCCAGGCAGGCTGACTATCCAAATGGGCCCAACGAATCATCCCACAGGACCAAAAGGGAGCTCTGCCCACGCTGGTCTCTCCGTCCCCCACCCCCGTGACAGAAGCGTCTAACTGGGGGGACACTGCGCTCATTCTCACCTATCAGAAAGTGGACTCGATACAGGTCAGATTTCTGGAGCAGGCGCCGAAGCTTGGTCTGTGTCTCGCTGGGCTCCGAGCCCTGGCTGCCGGCAGCCGCCCTCTGCTGCAGCACCTCCTCCAGGTAGAGCAGCGCCAAGTGGGTGTGGTACTCTTCTTTCTGCAGGAGAGGGGGTCCGACAGACAGAGTTTGCTGAGTGGGAAGCCTGCAGATCCCCACCATCAGCCACTGGGCCCCGACCCGGCCTGCTCTGAGGGGACCTGGGGGAGAGTCTCACAGACAGTGGATGTGGCRCTCTTGGCTGGTGGGAAATCTCCCAGAAACCTCGATGCACAGAGGAGGAGCTCACAGCTCGTGGTGCTACAGTCTGAATGTTGCATGTTCCCCAAAGGCCCACGTGCTACAGGCCTGGTCCCCAGGGAGGTGAAACTGGGAGGTGGGGCCCAATGAGAGGAAGTTGGGACAATGTGGCTATGTCCTAGAAAGGGATCATGGGACTACAATCTCTTCCTCTTTCTCTCTTTCACATACATCTGCTCCCAGCCACGATAGTCTGCCTYATCACAGGTCCCAAAGCAACAGGCCCCACTGACCACAGACTGGAACCCCGAAAACCAGAAATCAAGATCCACCTTTCTCTTCATAAGTTAATCGCCTCAGGTATTTTGTCAGAGTGGTGGAAAGCTAATGCGTGACTATGGAGAACAAAAGGGTCACTTGTCATTTTGTGAAGTCAGGGCCACAGGATTTAGGTATTCTACAAAAAGGCCCAAATTCTCTCATTTCTTTTGGAGATAATAACAGAGGGAAAACAGAAGAACAATATAAATATAGAGGACAGGAGGTGGCAGTGAAAGGGCTACCTATTCCAGTGGGTCTCTTTCACTGGGCCTCAAGTTCCCTCAGACATCCACAAGYACAGACTGAGCAGCCAGGGAATGGGCATCTGCTAAAAAACCTGACAGTCAGGCTCCGCCCCCTGTTGTGCTCACCTGCAGCCTCCTGTCAATAACGAGATGTTCCAGATATTTAACAAGAGCTTTAGGGTATTTCTTAAGGCAACTGATAATATCATCTGGATTAAAACTATTCTYCTGCTGTTCGTCCCAAGGTCTCTTGGTGAACACTTGAACGCCAACCTAAAGGAAGAGCAGAATAGTTATTAGACTTTTTGCAGTCACTTTTTCTTCCTCTTTATTTTGGTCACTATGCATTCATGATTTGGATAAAACCATCATAAAAATATGATGATGAAATACATGAAGTAGGTACGACTTTTTGGGTGTCAATCATATCCCAATAGAGTGGCTAACAAATATGGTCATGGAGAAACGTGGTCCAGCAGGAAGCAGAGAACATGAAGCAAAGATAGAAAAGCGCCCTCCACTCAGAGACCTCCCCTCAGACATCCAGCTGGAATCTCTTTAACAATGATCAGAAACTAAAAAACGAAGCATTTATCAGTAATGAATTCTGACAACTCATGCAGTACCTATCTTGGACTATTAAGATCATCCTCAAACAGGGATGTTTCTTTGCCTGAGAATAAATGAAAATAGCCAAAAGCACTGAAAACTCAATATACTAAACTCAGATCTCTGAACCAAGATTAGCTATTTGGTAGACTATTTATGATAGATGGTTAATCTGGGATCTGACACTGGTTCCTGAACAGAACTGCCTCCTTTCACATTGAAATACTCTGGTCTAATTCCATCTTCAAGGAAATGCTAATGAGAAAAGTATATCCATGCCAGGTTCCYCTGGGCCTTTATGTGTGCATGGTCTGTTGCCTGCAAACACACGCGTCTCCATGATCCCAAAACATGAGAAATGAAGTGGAACTGTTAAGAGTGTGAATTTGGGTTGTAAGTGTGGATTTGTGTGTTGGCTTTTTCACCAATTGGCAAAGATTCTGAATCTCGAGTCTCRGTTTGCCATAGTCTGAAAAACAGGCCCACTTCAGGCTAGGGAAGGCTCAGTGGTAAGATACTTGCCTAGCGTGCACAAGGTCCTGGGTTCCATCCTCAATACTACATAAACAACAACTACAACAATATCAGAATAATAATGATGTGCACTTCGTGGAGTTGCAGTGCCATTCAAAGGAGAGACAGGTCAAGTGACAGGCCTATCAGGTGGCACACAGGATTCCAGTATGTTCTGCTGTTATTTGGGAGCACTGAGAATGGTCTACCCCTCTCAATGGCACTAGATCCATGTTATAAGTGTGAGCATGTCAGGAGTGGACACTGTGGGCATGCCTCAGTGGCACAGGAGGGATGGAGTAAAAGGTGAGTGCACAGGGGTGCTGACCTTCCAGTCAGGGCAGCACGTGGGTCTCTCCCAGGGGAGCCAAGGAAATAGTCTGCCTTTAGTGGTGAGAACCAAGAGGCTTACTATCTTTGTTCCAGTCATCTGTGGGAGTCACTAAGGACTCTGTCCCTCTGTCCTGAGCATGCTATCCTCTAGACAGCCCACAGCCAACAGGTGCTTTACCACTCTTGTCATTTCTCGATGTCAAAGACGGGTTGACATAAAGGAGAATGAAATTATGGCATTTGCCAGTAAATGGATGGAACAAGACACGATCATTGCTAAGTGAAATAAACCAACCCCAGAAAACCAAAGCTGAATGTTCTCTCTGATATGCGGACACTGACGAGGGGGCATGCGAGGAAGGGAGGGGACACTGGAATGGGAAAGACAGTAGAAGGATTCTGACATCACTTTCCTATGTTCACATATGAATACACGACCAGTGTGACTCTACATCACGTACAACCACAAGAACAGGAAGGTAGACTCCACGTATGTACGATATGTCAAAATATATTCTACTGTCATGTGTAACTAAAAAGAACAAATAAAAAAAAATAAATGTGTTCAAAAGAAAAAAAAAAGATGGGCTAAATCCTGCTCCCCACACGGGCCTCCACACCCAYAATTTCCTTGTAGGGTGGTGGGAGCAGGCAAGGGAACGATGGTCTCTCTGGTGTGGCCCAGGCCTGGGGCTGTCTCCTGACAAGGCCCAAAGCCTTCAGGGCAGCAGCCTGCTACTGCTCCGTGACAACAATGCCAGATGTCACTAGGGAGACAGGGAGACACCTAGACCGGGGCTAGGCTTTTTGCTTTTCTAGAAAAGAGGGCTTCCCAAGGAGAGGATTCTAACCATGTGTCTAAGAAGCACCAAAATTCATAACTTCTGCCGGGCACAGTGGCACACACCTGTAATCCCAGGGGCTCAGGAGGCTGCGGCCGGAGGATCACTAGTTCAAAGCCAGYCTCAGCAAGAGAGAGGYGCTAAACAACTCAGTGAGACCTTGTCTCTAAATAAAATACAAAACAGAGCTGGGGATGTGTCTCCATGGTCGAGTGCCCCTGAGTTCAATCTCCGGTACCCACCTGGCCCCCCC